TAATCTAGAAAGCAAGAAACCAAGAAACAAGCAAAGCAAGAAGGCAACAAAGGGGGAAAGCGATGACACAAGCAAACAAACGCGCAAGCACACAAACAAACAAACAAACAAACAAACAAACAAACAAACAAACAAACAAACAAGCACGCAAACAAACAAACAAACAAACAAACAAACAAACAAAAAAAACAAACAAACAAACACGGAAAGACAGCAAGACAGCAAGCAAGCAAGCAAGCAAGCAAGCAAGCAAGCAAGCAAGCAAGCAAGCAAGCAAGCAAGCAAGCAAGCAAGCAAGCAGGCAAACAAGCAAGCAACAAACAAACAAGCAAGCAAGCAAGCAAGCAAGCAAGCAAGCAATAAGCAAAAAAACAAACAAACAAAGAAAAAAAAGAAACAAACAAACCAACCAGCAAGAAACCATCAAACAGTCTCAAACAACCACACAACGAAACGCGAAAGCAAGTAAGCAAGCAAACATGCAAACAGTCCAACAAGCACACTAGAAAGCAAACAACAAAAACCAACGAACACGCTCAGCAGACAAACCAAAAAGACCAAGCAGCCCAAGAACCGGTGCTTCTCATCAAGCCCAAGGCGCCCATCCCGCCGAAGATGTCACGCTGCAGCTTGGCCAGCTCCAGCAGCGCTGGCTTCTGCCGAGGCGCCGGCAGCCTTCCGGGAAGTGAGGTGACGTCATCATCGAGACCCGGTATTAAAATGGTCTACCCAAATTTGAGCTATCCTGAAAAATGGGCTGTTGCCCCACATTTATGGGTGAATTCCTTGTTTTTGGGGGTCCAGGTAGCCCAAGCCATGTAAAGAACGGCTATCCGCACCCATGGGGATTCTCCCTTTCCAATGTTCATCTACCCGGGTTTTGCTTGTGGCTCAGATATTTTCAAGGGACAAGGGAAACGAAATGCAGCCTGCCAGGTCCCAAGCGCTAGGTGACCAACGGCTCTCTCCCAGCACGGGGGAGGCCTCTTGGACAAAAGACACACACGACGCAAGAAGCAAACGTGTGCAGAGATGGAGTTCTAGCGTGGCTGTGAGTTGGGTCCAAAAGAAAATACCGGCCTTCTGGGCAAATGAATCTCCCCCTTTGAAGGGCCCCCCCTTTTTGTGAGGCAAGGTTTTGCGCGGCTCCCATGACAACGCGCCTGTCCACGGTCTCTCGCACCAACTCGTGGAGGAAGAACTTGTGGAACTCTGAGACACGCAGGTCGCAAAGGCACCTAAGATACCGGATGCCTCTTCAGGGAACGGGAATGAAAGGACACTGAAAAGGAAACCTCAAAGGGAAACCAAATGTTTAAATACTAGGAAACCTAAAGGGGATAATGACGGAAAGGAAGCGTGGGCCTTGGTTTCATTTTTGAGTTGCACTGAAAGGACATATGAATTGCACCAAAGAGGGACCCCTGGTTTTGACAGTGTCCTATCTCTGAACTCACTAAGCTCCCACATTGGTTGGAAGGAATTGACCCAGCCAAAATGCCAAAGCCCTCTTAAAAACCAGTTTGGCATATCTCCCAGGTCCAGTAGAGAGGTTAGAATAAGGGTACCAACTTTTTTCTCTAGTCCATTTTAGTAATCATTTTAGTAGGGGATTTTCTCACCCAAGAAAAAGAAAGGTAGTCTCCAAAGGGACCCCTCCGCACCGTGGGGAGCGGCGCTTCTTCAGCCCGCCCGGGTCGCTGAAAGCCAATGGAACCACCAAACGCTCAACCGGTGCGAAACGAATTTCAACATGGCTTGCCCTGGTAAATGGAAAAGTAGACCGAAATTCCTGCGGCCCCCGATCGGCTCTGAACTCTTTGAGCCACACCCAAAAATCGGCTCGAAGCACGGCAAAATTCTTGACAGGCGACTCCGTGGGCTGGGAGAGAAGGCTCTTGAAGAAGCGGAACAGCACCTCAAAGGCGACCATGTGGCCATGGGTCAAAATCCAAATCGGCTAGCCCCCCAGTGAACATCCTAATCCCCACTAAAATAGGCTCTAAAATGGGTGGTGAATTCACCTACCCCAACATGGGATCCCATTGGTTGTGACCCACAGCCATATGGTGCTGCAGCTTGGTTCGTGCTGGTTCATGCCTGGTTCGTGCTTGGTTTACGTTGGCGGGTCCAGTCGGCAGGTCCAGTCGACTGGCGAGAGCCAGAGTTGAAACTCTGGATATGAGTTTGGTGAGTTTGGTATCCTTATCTGAAACAAACCCCAGGAAAACATCCAGTTCACACCGAAGCCATTTGGGGCTCATGTGTCTCTTGTCATTGGGGGATCGGATTCTTGGTGTAGGAAATTAGGAAAACAAAAATCCGAGACCCTTCCGGCCTCTTGAGAGCAGGATACCGAGTTTGGGGAAAGCTAAAATTCAACATGGCTTGTGGCTGATTTCTGGTTGGTTTATTTCTGGATCGACCCTGTAGCGGGGTCCTCTTGCAGAACTTTTGTGGCATACCAGAAGCCGTGTCCACTTTTAGCGGGAAGCCCAACATGTTCCCACTTTCAGGTCTGAAAAGGACATGACTGTGGCATAAAGCAACGATCCGCGGCCGCCAAAGGTTGCACTCAACAAACAATGGAATTTACAATGATAAACCGCAACTGAAGTGGCCAACGCAAGCCAAACGTGAATGTTAGGAAGTGGAGGTTCACAACCCCAACCAAGACACACACACACACACAAACACAAAGAACGCCAAATGCGTGCGCGGAGGGTTCTGAGTGCAATGCGTGCGGTGTGATAAGCCGCGTGGAGGCTTGGGTCTCCTGCATGGAAATCGCAAGCATTGATCACGTGGAACCAAGCACAACTACGCACAAGCAGATCTCAAGACCAGAGTTTCTTGCAGGAGCATGTGCAGGGTTCACTATGTCCCCTTTCAAACATCCCACCCAAAGGAAACTACATCAAAATCCCCCACTCCAGGGCAACCATCCACATTTCAGTTATCTGAATAAAATACAGGCTGCCACTGAAATCATGAAAATATCTCTCCACCAGCATAGCAAAAGAGAAACTCAGCTGGACCCTCTGGAACCTCAACTGATCGGAAATCCCGTCTCGCGGCTGAGACCGGCCGCGAAATGCGCAGAGCCCGGGAGCTTGACACCTTCTAGGGGGTAACGTCGGAAACGGGGAGAGGCTGGGAGATGCTTCCCTTGAATCCAGTTGGGGCAAACTTTGACGATGGTGAAATCATGGGGCCCCCTGTATCATCTTCAAAACTGCCTCCTGTCCGCTTCCATTAACAGGGCCACCAGACTGTTTCACCCATGCCTGTTGCTTCCCGCGTCATCGTGTCCCCGGTGCTGCCTCCCCATTTTTTTCGAGTCGATTCGATACCTCTGTTGGACTCCTTCATGAATCACTTTTGCAGTAGGTCCGCATTCTGGCAGTATAAGCCTGTTCCATGGTGGATCAACCGAACAATCAGATCCTGTATAGAATCAGAAGCTATAAAACAGCAAAATGCAACCAAACAATAAGCTGACTGGAGCTAAGCAGGCAACATGCCCCGCATCTCCGATGCGTACAAAGTGTGCAGCAATGGGGGTTGTAGCCCATGGAACCAAGAGAACCTACATGATAGCGCGGAGGGGCTGACTGTTCTACATGTTACACCTTTCCCAGGTGCCTCCTCTTTCGAGAAGAAGAAATACTTAAAACTATATCAAACACCTGGTGGCCGGCTGTTTCGCATCAGCGTCTACGTAAGTCTCTCAAACGGAAACTCACTTCAACGTGGAAACGAGTAGCTACTACTTCAACCATGGGGAAGTATAAAACCATCGAGCGCAGGCGGCTTTGTTGGACAAAGCCGCAAAAGAGATGCTGGTCGAAAAGGGGGAATATCAGAACCCCCGATGTCAAAGGCCATGACTCAAAGTTTGGTCAATTTACCATTAACTTGGCATCAGCTGCAGAAGGGGACCAACATGAATTCCCAATATTTGCTTCTGTGCGTCAATACAATCTGCATTTGATCCTGACACCGTAGACTTGATATTTGGATACACCTCACGCCGGAAAAGTGATCTCGGGTTTTCCCGTCTCCTGTAGCTTCAGCTGCAAGCCATGAACAAGTCTCACCTCAGCCACCAGATATTTGGTAGGGAGGGGATGCTTCGGCCCCTTTCCGTCCCTACGCGGGGGCAGTCCGAAAGCTGGCTGAGTGGCTAGCTTTGCTGACCCTCTTTGTTCATCCGGAGCTGAAACTGCCATTGCGGCAATATGTAAAGGGAAGCTTGACCTTGAAAAGGCAGCCAGTCAAGGAAGTTCAATGGGCAAAACTCAACGAAACCCTTGCTCAAAAAACTGAATCTCTTTCGTAACTACTTACAACAATTCGCAACAATTTAAATTGACAAAAAATCCTGCCAATCTCAGATCCAACCAAGCTGGATAATCAGTGTATCAAGCATGAGAAACCCCCGGCCACCCACACCAAATGGAAGTCACTTGTTGGAGTTTTGTCAGCCGAAACTCTCAGCTCAATTACTTGCTTCCCATGGAGTAAAAAAAGACAGCCTCTTCCTTGTGCTTAGCTACATCTTCAAATGGGGGTTTCTCCAAATAGGGGACCCCTTTTGGATCGGTTGTAAACGAAAACCAACAAGCAAACCACCTACCTGGGTCCCCAATTTTGAGAAGCGCCCAAAATCATTTCTCTGCAACAGCTTTGTAGATTGGTGGTTGACCGTTAAGGGAAAGCGCCTCAAAACTCAGGCAAGAGGGTGCTGGACGTCAAAGCAAGGGATTAGCAAAGAAAAAAGAGAGACACCTTCTCAAATGTTAGTGAGGAGTATACCCTGAAAAACTGAATTAAGGCAGCGCTTTCGAAAAATGATGGCAACGGCTTAAACTCGCTCCTAAAAGGGCCAGCTTGGTTCGACAACAGGCTTTTACCCAAAGAGTCCTTTACTCCAAATGAGGGACCCCCCCAAACGATCTCCGGGATCTTCATGGACCCAAAGGTTCCAATTCGGCGATTCAGCTCCGCGCGTAGAGCATCTTCTTTGAGACCACGCTGGGAGCAATGTCCTTTCGGTGTCAAGCGGGAGTTCCCCAACCGCGCGCGGATCAAAACTCGCAAAGACAACGGGGGAGTCTGCCCCGAAAAAGGCCCGTGCAAGGCCCATGGCATATGTGGATTTGAGGCAAGGTCTTGTAAGGCAAATGTCCAGCAATCCGTCGCCACGAGTTCTGCTAATGTTTGAAGAAGCAACACTCACCGTTGATCTGAAGGCCTTGTGTGCAGCAACACCCGTACAACCCACGGGTGTCACGCTTCTCATGGCAAGTAAAACGCGCGCCTTCACGAAGATGAAGTGAGACATGTTGTCGCCGACCTCGGAAAAAGAAACCCGGAGCGGGATTCTCGGAATTGCCCACGTCTGCGACACCACTGAATGGGAGTGTAAACCTGTGATGGAGAATAGTCATTCAGAATGAGCTGCCCTGCATGTGAATGAGAGCACGGTAGGGTAACAAAAGGAGAATTTGCCTTAAAGTAGGCAAACGTGGCTTGCAGGTGGCAAGCCAAGTCATGTGTTGCAGCTTTACCAAAGTGCTGTCGCATGATGTACAGCCTGGATGCTGGATGCAAACCAACCACGTTGATGTGCAAATAGCCGATTGCAACCCGTGCGTGTTTGCGGTTGCATGCACGCACGTGTGTGTGGGCGTGCGGGGTGTGCTGGTGCTGGTGATCTGTTGTCATGCAACCCACTTCAAACAATGCGAAGTGCCCAAAAACGGGTGACTGTTGGTGCCATGTGTGTGTGTGTATATATATATATATATGTATTGTAAACAACAACAAAAAAGTGTGAGACAACCACGATTCACATTTTTGGAGGGACACTCGGCAAGACCGACAGCTGCTAAGGCCCCGCACGATCTTCAGAAGATCAGCTTCCTGGTGGGAACCAGGACTCCACTTCGAGATATTCCCGCCCTCAACCCAGCACTCTAGCAAACGGTTTGGATGCCCTTTTTGTGGACTTCACCTGTTCTTTCTTAACCCTGTAGGTTCTTTTTGATACTCTTTTAGTACTCTTTCAATATCCTACAGGGGTGGATCCACAAAACCGCGTCCAAGCCGTTTCCTAGAAGCAATTCTGGCGAAAGTCATTCTTGGCAACCAAGAAAAGGGGCCCAAGAGAGGTCCCACGTCCTGGCACAGCATCAAAGTGGTGCGCCCGCGCCCCACGTGCGCTCGACAAGTGGCTCAAACAGTCCCGCCTTCGCTTCACACAGGTTGTCAAGGCCAGCAACTTCAGGGAGGCTAATGCGTGTTGCGCCGTCTTCGTAGGGGTCACTCAAATCACCAGTTTCCTCCCGATGGGCTTGCCCCTTCCAACTGGTTGGCTTTGCGATCCATCGAGCAGACGAGAAGGTGTGCCCACCATTCCGCGAGGCGCCCTTCCCTGCCTGAAAACCCCATGTCCTGCTAAAATCCAGCTGTAGATTCGTGGCGTTGAGATTTGTCTGAATGTCCCACATCCAAGATCTGAGGCTCCCGGGTGTCAGTGAAATTGAAGCGAACCCCAAACTCCCACAAACCATCCTCAGAGAAATGTCCGCTTGGTGTCACCTCCCCTTCTGAATTCTCCGTGTCCCTTACAAAGTATCCGTACCCACAAAGAATCGTCAATTCCACATGTCCAACGCAAGGTTCGCAAGGGCCAGGCGATACGGGGATTTTTGGCCTCTTTCCCTTTCGGATTTCAGCTGCAAAAGGAAGCAAAAAAACCTAGCGAGCGTCTAGGATTGGCTCCCCCACTCCTCTCTCACCTCTAAGCGTCCTGAAGGGGCTCCAGGTTGAACAGCCAGGTGTGGCGTAAGAAGTTGTGCCTTGCAGGTGTTCACGCAATCTTGCCGACTCAAATCGAAAAGCTTTGCCCCCCCCTCCCCTCTGCGGAAAAAAGAAAAACGAAAAGAAGCTTGGGGATGATGATTATGATGATGATGATTATCATGATGATGATGATGATGATGATGATGATGATGATGATGATGATGTGATGATGATGATGATGATGATGATGATGATGATGATGATGATGATGATGATGATGATGATGATGATGATGATGATGATGATGATGATGATGATGATGACACTACTTCCCTCAGCATGTATGTTGCAGTCCTCATGCAACCTGTCCAACAACCCGTGTTCAAGGATTGATGATCCTGGCGTCACAGCCAGGTCTCGAACCCTGCGAAAGGCAACGGAAGAAATGTCAGCCTGTTTCAACAGATCAGCAAGTTGTTCAACTCATTTTGACACATGTTGGCACATACCCACATACACTGCCCAAGCCGTCGCGCTTCTTGAAGTCCAAAACCAATTTCAGCCCCCTCCCCAAGAACTCCTACCAGGCAACACCTACGCAGGTTCGCGCGGTCAATTTTGGATGCCGGGAAGCCTTTTCTTTTTATACATGAAAAAGGGTGCGGCCTGCGGTTGATCGGAGAGTCTTTGGAAAACACCTAAGCTGCATAAACTGTTTGAAGTATGAGCAACTCTCAACACCCAGGGAAATTGAGAGCGACCAAAGTGGTTGAAGGTGACACTCTGCTCCTTGTTGAGTCAACAGTTTTTGGGGGCCCTGTTGGGCGGCCAAAAAGCTAGCATAGCCTTCACGTGCCAGCACGATTCCTTCGCAAACCCGGGAGAATCCTTGCAGCTCGTGCTTTGCCCCCACCTGCCCGCCAGCTCTGCTGCGCTGCGGGCAGCCAAGATCATCATCACGCCCTGCGATGAGCCAATACGTGCGTAATTGCGCAAGTGCGGCTTTAGGTATCCCTATGGAACAAGGCACACCCCTAAGTGTAGCTTCCTGGGACCCAAGAAGGGCCTGCACTTAACTTATGGGGGGAACACCTCCCTAGTCTGCCTGAATTGACCTGCCTATGGGCTTGATTGGGGTGTCCTGTGGCGCGCTTTGAATCACAGCTTGAAGGTGGGTCGCTCACTTGCCCAAGGAGCGAACAACAAAAATTGAGCCTGGTCATGTTGCACCAGAGCCAGCTTCGGACTTACACAATCGCCACCCCGCTGCAAACTGGCCACACCAAACTGGAAAGAGATCCTCCTGGTAAAGCCTCTTTGCGCGAGCTTGTTTGCCCAGGTCGGCTCGGTGTAATGTGCAGAATAAGCATGATATGGGAAGAAAATACGTGGAAAACATCGCGCGGCTGGACCATTTCACAATAAAATTGAGAAGGGATGTGGACTCTGATTGGATGATGGCACATAATGCGCGCGACAAGTATCTCGGCAGCAACCATGCGTAAAAGCTTGGACTGAACAAAAGCATAGCACCGGTCACCATGAATTACAGGAAAGAGCATAAGAATGTTGATCCCAGCTGCCTCCAGCTGCAGATCTCGGCTCCAAAAATAGGCTTCAGCAACAGGTGACTTTGTAGAGGCCTGTAGAGGACACTTTTGGATGGAGTAGGAGCCTTAGAATAGGGAGACCAAAAATAGATTGTTTTCTTCAAGTTTTCGTTTGAACACCAAAACCCCAAACCTGCCCCCAAACAGTACCAGGCAAAAACGCCTAACGTTTCAATTTCCAACCCACATCAACTGTGCTGCTTGGAACTGAAGAACCACAAAAACAATCACCACCTCCCAAATCTCTCAATTAGCCAATGCAAAACCAAACTGATCTCATCCGACTACTTCCCCGCGAGAAAAAAATAAAGTCAAGGGGGCCAAGCCTTGTCGCGAAACAGCCTTCCAAGCCAAACCTCCGGCTGCCAATAGGGGCTACATGACCTTCCAAGCCACAGAGAGAGAAAGAAAGAAAGAAAGAGAGAGAGAGAGAGAGAGAGAGAGAGAGAGAGAGAGAGAGAGAGAGAGAGAGAGAGAGAGAGCGAGATCTATGAGCCAGCGCGGCTCGATACTTTCCTTCATGCTGAGCACATACTATATATATATCATCGACTGGAACTACCAGGGTCGCAAGAAGGCAGGGCAAAGAAAAATAGTGCTAGGAAATTCATGTACTGATTGAGAGCCACAAAAAGTGGCTCTTGGTGACGACTGGGTGCCAGGGGCTACCCTTGTGGCTCTGAATCAATATTGTTGGAGAAACCAGATCCCTTCTCATGGTTGCAGGAAATACTCCCACTGTAAACGGGGTGTCTTGCGGTATCACAAGGGGCTGAAACAAAAACAACACACATGGGATTGGAGACCATTTCCAGGCGGTGTCCTTTAGTTTCCCAAACCAGGCGCAGAAAAGGAAAAGCCTCAAACATGTGCGATGGGTCTCATTGAGTCACAATCAAAACCTGGTATTAAAATGGTCTACCCAGAACTATGGAAAGAGTTAAGAAGGCGGCCGCAACTAT